TGTTCTGGTTGTATATTATAAATATTATAGTTTTGAGTAGAGATATTTATAATATCCTTTATATTGATACTTACCATATTCTCTATATTGATATCCTCAGCAATAATTGGGTTTTTCATATTAAATGAAACTTCCATAATATTAATCATTGGAAAAAAAAATAACTATATAATATCATACTCTTTTTATAGCATTTGTAAACCTACAAAAAAAACTATTCCTTAAATCCTTACTAGTAATTATGACCAAATTATAGACAAATAAATCTTTGCAGTTTATATTTAACTTATCATATTATATAATATATTTTTTATTATTAACAAACTTAATTTGCAGATTTTATAAAAACCAATTTCGGGTTTGACGATCTGTTTATTCACAAATTATTTAGTATGTAGCGATGTAATTCATTGGACCTGTGCAAACAAATCTGACAAGAGAGGAGCATTATATTGCTCATGTGATAGTGTTACAAATCTAAAGTTGAAAAAATCGATTAGTTGGTTAGTTAACAACTAATCGATTAATCAATTAATCAACCAATCGATTAGTTGCAACTAATCGATTAAAGAATTAATTGTTAATCGATTAAAAAATTAATTAATTCTTTAATTAATTAGTTGCACTAATCAATTAATTAATTAATTAATTAGTTATAACTTACAATTAATTAAAAAAATTGATTAACCAATTAATTAAAACCTAACAATTAATCGATTAATTGATTAGTTGCAACTAGTTTGTTAACTAAAAAAATAATTCTCAACTAATTGATTGGAAAAATTTTGATGATTTGAAACACTATTATGTGATGTAGGTGATGATAGAGATCTATTATTACCTTCCCAATATAGAGGAAATAGCAGTATTCTAGAATCAGAAAGACTCTCTCTTTTTAATCTTAAAAACCTTGGATATAACATTCTCAAAAATCTTGAAGATAAAACTGTTAGAAATATTGATCTTTCAGAACTAGGGCCATGCTCTGAATGTTGCAATGATATTTTAGTATCTCCTCTTAAGAAATTCATATACCTCATATGCAGACACCTTTTTCATAGACTCTGTATTGAAAAAAAACTTTTTCTTAGTACTTCAAGTATGTGCCTATTCCTGGATTGTGGAAAGAATATAAAAATCTTAGATCAAGCTAATGCCCTTGATACTATTTTTAATTTGCTATTATCTGATCTCAAGAGGGCCTCCCAATTAAGTAGAATTTTACCTTTGATGGGTAAAATATTTGCCCTATCTTCACCACCTATATGGATAAAAGGATTGATAGTATAGCAACCCAACAAGTCAAAAATAATTTGAGGTGTGCCAAATGTTCTGAAGAGCTTTCTTCATATCTCCCACCTATAGGCTTTTTTTGGTTCTCTCCTCAACTTCAAAGGCTTTCGAAACCACTCATATACTTAACTTGCAAACATATTATCCATTACAATTGTATTGATAATTCTCAAAAACTGCGTTTCATATGTCTATTAACTAGTATGGAAATTAATAATGACATTATAGATATCCAAAAGTCAAGTACTACCTAGAATAAATGTTCTAGAGAAGATAGTAACAAATTATCCATATCTACTTCCAATAAAAAGGCAAAGAAGACTAAGAAGCTAGTTGATCAAAATCTGTCCCCTACATTGCAAAAACTGATTAAAGAGTTAACTACTGCTAATCCTGAAAATGAAGAAATTTTACAAACTAAGCCTATCTCTAAATCAAACAATAACTCAAATATCTTTCTCAACCTATATAATAAGATTGTTGCTAGTGAAGACCAACTAAAAAAGACAATACAAAATGTTCTTCGCTATTATTTTGATTTTGAAAAAACAATGAAGAAACGATATGATTATTATAGATTATTAAATTATAAAGATTTGGCATCTCAGTTCCTAGTTGATGATGATGTGCAGAAACAGCTTCTCAAAGATATTTCAGAAGAAGCTCTTTGAAAAAGAATTAAGAGAGCTCAAAAGGTTTATAGTCTCTTCAGTAGCATCAATATAAATGTAAATATAGTTAGGGCTATGATAGAAAGAGTTAAAACTTTTTCACTATCAACTATAATAGCTTTGTCTAAGGATGATATTAAATACGTAATTGCTAAAGTGCTTTGGAGTAGTTTGATGTACTATGGCATAGACTACTGTATTTGGACATGTATGTCCATGGTAGTGTAAAAAAATAGTGTTCTGAAAACATAATAAAGTTTAGCTTTAGCTATTTATTTTTTATAATATTTTTTGATCGATATTAACTACTGTATGATTAGTGGACATACATGTCCAGATTTTTTAATCAATACTATTACTATATAATTAGTGGACATGCATGTTCAGAATTTTTGATCGACAAACACAGTATGATTAGTGGACATGCATGTCCAAATTTTTTGATTGAGACATACTCATCAAATAGCATTTCATGATATATTTGGATATTGGCAAAAATTTATTTCTATTAATATATATAAAAAATAAATATGCTGTTAATAAAAAAAATCTATAGTTATTATGTATATAAAAAATCTTACAGTTAAATATACTAACATGTTATATAAGATAATAATTCCGCATATAAAATTTATCTGTATTGTCTAGCAAGGCTAATTATGCATAACTATTTGTGAAATGGGGCACAATTTCAAAGTGTCTTATTTTTCTGGAATTAGTACTCTAACCAAAGTCAGTCAATTAACTCATGCCACATCTTTGTGAGAATTTACATATTACAGGTTTGTATATATAATAAAAATTTTTAGCTACATATAGATTATTTTTTCTGTTAATATATAATGATAAAAGAGCAGAATAACATACCCATGAATAAAAAAAAAGAAAAAATTATATCGAAAAGTGGCACAACTTTAGAGGGTAAAAGCACAGATATAAAGTTTGTGACGAATACAATCATCATTCATACTTATATTGCAAAACATACAAAAAGGTGGCAAATGAAATATATAAGCAATATAAATGCGATAATGTGTTAGAATAAATTTCGCATATATATAAATTTATCTGTATCACTTTTGTTATACATAACTTATTTGTGAGACAAGACACAATCTCAAAGTGCCATTTTTTATTTTTCTGGAATTAGTATCTAACCAAAGTTGGTCAATTAACTTATGCTACATATGTTTATTATTTTGTAGAGAATTTACTCTAGATCACAAAATACCACATATTATGGGTTTTATAATAAAAAATTTTAGCCACATATAGATTATTTTTTCTGTTAATATATAACAATGAAAAAAAAACAAATTTACTTTAAGAAGTGGCATATTTTTAGAAGTTGGAAGCACAGGTGTAAGGTTTGTAATGAATGCAATCACCATTCACATCTATATTGCAAAATATGCAAAAAAGTAGCAGATAGAATATATAAGTGATGTAAATATAAAAATTTTAAAAGCGAACCTCAAATAATTAACATTAAATAAAAATACATAAATCTAAATAAATAAGTAATAATAGTCTTTTCTAAAGTTGATTATATCCAATTTGGGTATTTCCTATTAAAGCAGTAGATAGATATAAATAGTTAACTGATAGTTATAAATAAATGCATATTCATATTGTTATGTTTTATCACGACTACGGTATTATCCTGGTAATGTATAATTTTATCACATTTTATAAATTTATTACTAGTTAGTACATACATACGTATAGTATATATGTTCTGCCTTAGGTTTTTTTGCCTTGCCTTGTTCTGTTCCAGATGTCCCATTTTATCTCATCAATTATTCCTATTTTTAACTTAAAAAGTATATCTAAATTAAATTTTAAATATATTAAAGAACTGCAAACAGGTATCTTAGTAAAATTTTGTTTTTTTTTTTAAACCTAATCATTTTGTCCCAACTATTCCATGTACAAACTATTGCTAGTTACATTAGTAAATCGCATAATAAGATAATAATAAACAGGCATCTCGTATTTGCTTACACATATTAGTTATTCTAAATATATTTGAAGGGATTACTAACAGCTCTTTGTATTTTTTTTATATATACAAACACAGAGTAAATCATGTAATAATGTGAAATTGTTGTCTATCAATTCAGAATCAGCATGTGAAATTTCTGGCATTATGAATAGTTGTGGTGTATGATTGAGTAAAAGCAGTAGTGTATACTACAAAAATCACAATTGAGAATATAAAACTAGCATATTATACTTATAATATTGTATAGTTGCAAATAATTTAATATATGACCTCACAAAATTTTACAAAAGTTTATTTATCTTTATAATAAAAATATATCGAATACATAGGGGTCAGTAACAAAAAAGATTTTAACCTATATACAAATAAGTATCAGTTCTGTGATCTCTGTGTGCTAATTCCATAACTATATAACCATATATACCAGTATATATATTTAATTAAATTTATATTTAAAAAGAAAAAAATTTATCATTTAGTGTTAAAAAAGATGAGTACGAGGTATTCAATAATTATCAAATATATAACCATAACAGGAATGCAATTGGAATATATAATATTGGACGTTTCTATAAAAATAGAATAGAAATTGAAAAAGATATAAAGAAAGCATTTGAATACTATCAATAATTAACAGATATGGGACAAGCTAATAAAATATATAATTTTGGCCATTGCTATGAAAATGGAATAGAAATTAAAAATGATATAAAAAAAGATTCAAATATTATTAAAAATTTATAGATATTAGACATATAGATGAAATATATAATATTGGATGTTGTTACCAGAATGGAATTAAAACTGAAAAGAATAAACATGAGGCATTCAAATATTATCAAAAATCTGCAGATATGGGGCATGCTGATTGGTTTATAAAGAGAATTGGATTTGAAGATGAATATGAGGCATTCATTTATTGTCAAAAACATGACCGTAACAGAAATGCAATTGGAACATATAGGATTTTTGCTATCAAAATAACCTTTCGAGGCTATGTTGATTTTGTGAATAAAAATTAAATTTGTCAGCTATCAAGTAATCTAATTTGAATAAACCTTTTTTATTTTATAAATCTCGATAGAATCTACAAATTAAAAAAATTTTCATTCAAATTGGATAACTAGTTGGCTAGCAAATTTAATTTTTATTCACAAAATCAACATAGCCTCAGAAGGTCATTTTGATAGCAAAGATCCTATATAATCTTGGACGTTGTTATAAAATAAAATAGGAATTGAAAAGATATAAAGAAGACTTTTAAATATTATCAAAAATCAACATATATGGAACAAACTGATGAAACATATAATCTTGGATATTGTTACAAAAATGAAATAAGAATTGAAAAAATAAGGTATTCAAATATTATCAAAAATCTGCAGATATAGAACATGAAGATGGAATATATAATGCTAGATGTTGTTATCAATACAGAATAGAAGTTAAAAAGAATATAAGAGAGGCATTTGAATATTATTCATTTTATTGATAGGTAATCTATATTTTAAATTCATTTTTTTTTTAAAAAAAAAGAAAAAGTTATTGTTATGATTAGTGTTGTCATGGGACAGCTTTGGACAATACTTTGGACAATCTTAGACAATTTTGGTCAATTAAATAAAGTAAAATTACTTAAAATTTTATTAAGATAACCTATTTTAATTTTAATTAAAATGAATTCAGCATCTAAAAAAATATATAGTTATATATTTTTTAGACAGATTTATTAATTATTAAAGCCTAGACAAGCTTTGGACAATCTTGGACACTTGGACAATTTTGGACATGGACAAGTTAAAAAAGGCTTTAGACAGCCAAAATGTACAACACTGGTTATGATTATTGCTTTCATTATTTAAAGACTGTAGCATCAGGAATAAGCCTGTAAAAAGTCCATCTTTTCAAAGAACCAATCCAAGCCAAAAAGGGCAATGATCTGATATCCATTGCCAGATATAACTAGATAGTCATAGAAGTACAAATCAGGCAAATCAGGTAGCCATGTAGAGATGCCATTGACATAGTCATGTGGAAAAGATGATAGATGGAAGGAATGGTGTGGGAATTAGTACTGTTAGAAAAGGGCAAGACTTTGTATTCTTTTAGCTTCTTTTTTCTTTTCAATTTTGTATAAATAAAGCAACAATTTGCTACAATTGTAAAGGCAGTAAAGGTTAAGTTTCGAACAATAAACTCTTGAATTTGTTTAATAAAACAATTTTTTTCTATTCTAAGCATCTTTTATTTGTATCTTATAAACCATACTCACAATAAAACCAAATTGTCTTATCTTGTCAAATCTTTTTTGCTTCTTCTCT